TCATTAAGAAGAATTGAGAAGTTTTGTTTTTTTTTTTTTTTTTTTTTTTTGCATGTCGAGAATTAAGTTAAAATCATTTCCAGAAATATAAGTTTGAATTTATTTTACACATGCAAACATTTTTGTTTTCCTTAATGTGGTCTTAATATTGTGTGGTAGTACACAGCCAAAGACACAACCTTTTATTTAGGAATCTAGGGCTACAAACCTAGCCAGCTAACTAGCTTCGAAAGCAAAAAGACTCTGCAATGTTCCAACCAGCAACAGCCAGTCAGCACGTACAGCCATGTAAAGCTAAACAAAAGGATATGTTAATTACTGTGACTGTGTACTATTTGCTTTTTTCATTTATATACCAGTAGCTTTTAGTTAGATGAATTGAAATCATGGCAGCATTGTTTTCGCTCTAGCTAACATGAGCTAATTGGCTAAACTTAGTAGCAGTTGTTGAGCTAAAAGTGTTCTATAATTAATCGAATCCAACTTGGTTAATAAGTGATACATTCATAGTAAGTTTGGGCTTGTAATTTTTTAAATGACTGGTCCATTTTAGATATTTTACACAATGTATTTTATTTTATAATGTGCTGTTTCTGTTCAGTATTGAACCCTTGAGGTTTCATAGTTTCTGATATTTTTATTTTTAAAACAAGTTGAACTTAAAGGCCACATGGATCAAGTGTTTGAGTGAAGAAGTAAATATGAGTGCTGGATAAAGTAGTGCAAGTAGTGAAGAATACGTTGGAGGTTGTAGCTGCTGATAATGGGTATAGGTGCAAGCAGAAGCATCATTCTGAACGTGGCAGGTCTTGCACAAGAATGCTGTACAATGGTGCAATGTAGTTAACGGTAATAAGGTATGTTAACGTTAGTAATGTTGAATTCTGGTCAGTCACATCAGAAGTTATGCAGCAAAGTTTTTTTTTTTGTTTGTTTGTTTTTTCCTGTGCACTTTTTAACATCACAGGAAGAGTGCGTTATTGGCACTCCTGTATTGTGCGTGCACAAGCTTTAACACCTCTTCGTGGAGCTTCATTGTAAAAGAAGTTTTCATTTTAGCAAATGAAGTTTACATTTCATGCACAGATTACATGTGTAAAAGTGCCAGTTTCATTCAGCTGCAAATTAGTCTGATATATGGATCTCATCATGAAATCATGCAATGCTTGACTTTAATAAAGTTTTCATGACGTTAGTAGTGAGCAGTCTTTCAGTGTTTCAGACACACATTCACGTTTGTGGCTAAACCTTGGATTTTCTGAATTGTGTGCATTTTGCAGTATAGCGCACAATATTTTTATGTGACGTGATTTCAACGCTAATTTTAGTTTTATAACTGCAGTACTGTGATCAGGTTTTATGGCTGGAGGATTAATGTAAGGCAGAAAAACATTCCTGTGATGTGGCTTGGGTTTGATGGGCACCAACAGTTTGACTTGCCATGAGAGGAGCTGTAGGCTAGAGGAGATTTTTGCAGATGGAACTTAGTTTAGTTATGTCTTGGTAGTGTACAGATGACATCAATACCATCAAGGATAGACTCATCTATGATTTTGAAATGCTAACCTCCAGGTAGCATGGACCTTCCCAAAATGCATTTTGTGTGGTTTTAAAATTAAATCCTTCATTATCAGCTGCTAACTTGCCTTTTTCCCATTAGTGGAGTTTGACAGTATTCACAGTAAACTGTAAGGATATTTTAACATTTAATCTTTGGAATAAGTAATGTTGCTGAGTTTAATTCTTGGGTACTGAGAGTTGCCCTGTCAGCGGGATGTTTTGTTGTTCATGTTTATGTGCATAGTTTTCAAAATTTTGTTGCAAGTGACAGCTGTGGTTGTTTCACACAGTCAGTGCAGCCCATTATGTTATTCATGACTTGCTGATCTTAAACAAGTGTGATTTCTATTTTCACCTGTTGGATAAATGTGGACACAACTGAATTTGATCTGAGAAATGTTCCAGTTCTGTCCCAGTGACCAGGAAACCGACTTGGTTTTGGAGGGTGTGGCACTGTGCTTAACAGTGTAATGAGGAGCGTCACTGTATCTGTTGCATTTTCACATACAGCTCACAGAATAACCCTGTTGAATGCCATGGGCTCAATGCTGTTAGAAACTTTTACTTAGGTTTTCCTCTTAGGGGACAAGAAGTACTTCAGGATTTATTTCGCAATGACTGCAACAAAATATGATGTGAGGTATTATTCAAACAAAGATGTGGCTTTTTGTCATGATTTAAATGAGACTGAACTGAAATTATGCCATTTTATCATTGTGCTAAAATATAAATATTATATATTAAAATATATTTGCTAACCTAAAATGTGTTGCCTGAAATTTCTTTTTTTTTCAGATAAAGATTACAAACTCCAAAGATAGGATATTGTGGGAATCTCATTTAATGAAGTCTACTACAAATTTGAGAGAGTAACTATGTTTCAGAGGAAAATATTGCACTTTTAATTCCACTACCATCATTTTTATTACATGCTTTTGTCCATAACTACTTGGAATAACTATTTTGGTAATTATTGCCAAACATTTCATAATTCTAGCTTCTCAAATGTATAGCAACTTGTGAATTTAGGCCAGAACTGCTTGTTCGTTGTAATTGTTTATAATAATTAAAATGTCTTGGTAGGACAAAGCAAGCGCTGTGAAGGTGCCTTGTTGGACTCTCCAATAATACATGGTAATAGTGCAATCACAGGGACCAATTTCTGCATTGAGTACTTTTACTTCTCATACTTTATGTAATGTACTGTAGTACTTTATTTAAGAAAATGGAAACAATATTTCCCTCGGCAGTGACTGACGGCTACATAAAGTGTTAAAGTCCAGTACATTTGTTGTCATCGTATCTCATCGTTCACTCCTCACTTGTGTTGTAGCTATGCAAAGCCGTGCAGAGATTTAATTCAACTCTGCAAACAGGTTTAAACCAATAAACAGTGGTTTGTTTGTTGACAGTTAAAATGAGAAGGAAGCAAATATTTAAATGACGTACAAATAGTTTGATCTTATCATTTCTTTGGCAGCGACTTGAAATATTTGTCTGTAATTACACCCACCACTTGTGGGTGGTGCTGTAATTACACCTGTGACTTTAACTCAAACCACCTTCCAGTCCTGCAGACAGTCACAAACAGAGAATAGATAACATGCCAGGTCTGCAGACATCTCTGCATTATACTGAGAAAGGTAAGAAAAAACATTACAGATAAACATGGATACACTGTTACTATAACTGAAATGTGTAGCATATAGAAATTTAAGTTACAGTAAAGTGATTTACAGTGCCTTGCGAAAGTATTCGGCCCCCTTGAACTTTGCGACCTTTTGCCACATTTCAGGTTTCAAACATAAAGATATAAAACTGTAATTTTTTGTGAAGAATCAACAACAAGTGGGACACAATCATGAAGTGGAACGAAATTTATTGGATATTTCAAACTTTTTTAACAAATAAAAAACTGAAAAATTGGGCCATGCAAAATTATTCAGCCCCCTTAAGTTAATACTTTGTAGCACCACCTTTTGCTGCGATTACAGCTGTAAGTCGCTTGGGGTATGTCTCTATCAGTTTTGCACATCAAGAGACTTAAATTTTGCCCATTCCTCCTTGCAAAACAGCTCGAGCTCAGTGAGGTTGGATAGAGAGCGTTTGTGAACAGCAGTTTTCAGTTCTGTCCACAGATTCTCGATTGGATTCAGGTCTGGACTTTGACTTGGCCATTCTAACACCTGGATATGTTTATTTGTGAACCATTCCAATGTAGATTTTGCTTTATGTTTTGGATCAGTGTCTTGTTGGAAGACAAATCTCCGTCCCAGTCTCAGGTCTTTTGCAGACTCCATCAGGTTGCCTTCCAGAATGGTCCTGTATTTGGCTCCATCCATCTTCCCATCAAGTTTAACCATCTTCCCTGTCCCTGCTAAAGAAAAGCAGGCCCAAACCATGATGCTGCCACCACCATGTTTGACAGTGGGGATGGAGTGTTCAGGGTGATGAGCTGTGTTGCTTTTACGCCAAACATAACATTTTGCATTGTTGCCAAAAAGTTCGATTTTGGTTTCATCTGACCAGAGCACCTTCTTCCACATGTTTGGTGTGTCTCCCAGGTGGCTTGTGGCAAACTTTAAACGACACTTTTTATGGATATCTTTAAGAAATGGCTTTCTTCTTGCCACTCTTCCATAAAGGCCAGATTTGTGCAGTATACGACTGATTGTTGTCCTATGGACAGAGTCTCCCACCTCAGCTGTAGATCTCTGCAGTTCATCCAGAGTGATCATGGGCCTCTTGGCTGCATCTCTGATCAGTCTTCTCCTTGTATGAGCTGAAAGTTTAGAGGGACGGCCAGGTCGTTCCACTTCATGATTGTGTCCCACTTGTTGTTGATTCTTCACAAAAAATTACAGTTTTATATCTTTATGTTTGAAGCCTGAAATGTGGCAAAAGGTCGCAAAGTTCAAGGGGGCCGAATACTTTCGCAAGGCACTGTATGTTGCTGTAATGGAAGTTCTGCTTTTGTTTTTACTCATATTTATATGCAGTACATTTCTCAGAATATCGAGCCAGGACAGCAACTTCAGATTTTGGCGTTGAAAACAGAAATACTGGCATTGAAACACTTCAACTGAAAACATCCGTATAGACATTTTGTGCCAAAGGTTGCTTTAAAAAAATAATACGCTAGCTTAGAAAATACCGGTTGTCAATAAAGATTGTCGATTATACAGTACCTTTAAATGCAAAGGTTTTTATCTAAAATCTGTATTTACTATTGTGTGGCAGTACAATTTAAAAAAAAAAAAAAGTTTTTTTAAACAAATGTGAGATTTAGAGATTTTGGAAATGTCAGGGGGGTTTTCTTAGTGGGTCAGCCTAACCTCCTGTTTTTCCTTTTATATCTTTTTTCCACCAAACTCTTTTGCCATTACATGGCTGGTGCAACTGCCCTCCAGCCCTTGAAAAGTTCACACATGGAAGAGGAAAAAATGTGATTAACAGTATAGAAAAAGAAAAAGGTGAGCTGCTGCCTTTAATCATCTTTAAAGGTGCTAGTAGGTTGCTTTCGTACAGTGTCAGGCTACCTGCTTTCCCCCACTTCAAGTCTTTATGCTAAGCTAAGCTAACCAGCTGCTGCCTGTAGCTTCATATTCAACAGACATGAGATTGTGCTCTCTACAAGAAAGCAATCTATCCCTTTAAGGCTCTGTGAAACTTCCATCAGCTGATACAAATGAATGGTAATTAATATTAAATAATCCAATATTAATTTTTGTAAATAAATATTTGTTGAGCTATGTTTTACATTTAATAAATGTACATAAAACCTTTCATACAAGCATTTACTGCTACAGCAGTAGGGTTTCACAGTATGTTTTCATGTATTTTCTTATTGTCATTTTTAATGTGTTTAGCTTTGCTTAGTCAGACTTTTCCCATTTACAGGACAGATCATGATGGTATCGGAGGATTTGTCACAGCAGTAGAGGTAGAAGAAAGGAAGAATCTTCTCCGTGAATGTATCTTTGAGTGTGTAAATATGAGTCTGAGCCCTTATGTCATAAAACGACACTTGCCCCTCGTCGTAGTCCACATACACCCCTATTTGCTTGAGCTTGGGGTCGAGGGGGAGCAGTAACGGTGGAGATGTTGACACCCGGTACCCCTGCCCTTTCTTCCTGGCCAGAGCCCAGTATCCTTGAGTGGTGCTAACAGAGATCCTACCCTTTCTGTTGACAGAAGACTTGGCTACGCCCAGGTACCAGTCATCCTTTTCTCCCACCTGGACCTCCCAGTAATGCCTCCCTGAAGTGAAGCCCTCACGGCCCAGGACAATGACCACTGTGTCGAAGCGGTCAGGGTGGTCTGGGAGGTCCTGCCATGCTCCCAGGTGTCTCACCTGACGTCTGTCCTGAGAAAGCTGCAACCATGGGTTGGCTGTATCAGGGTCTAGAGTTACATCCACTGCATAAATAACAAACACAGCAAAGGATTTATTTTGCTGGAGTAATTTTAGGTCATGGTTGAATGAAACTGGGTGCAAAATAGGAAAAATGTTTACCTGTGTATTTCTGGATCTTTTTCATCTCTGCAAATATTAATAATAATTAGATACTTATTGTGTCCTGCTTCAACTAGTGATGTTCTCATCTTAAAATCAAATGAAGAATAGCCTAAAATATCTTACCGCTTTCAGTCAGTTTGTCAGTCATCTCATTAAACGTTGCCTCCAGTTTAGACACGGATCTCCTGATCATGCCTACACACATGTCAGTGGGAACACTGGTGTTAGACCAGTCCTTAACAGAAGGAGGAGTGCTAAGGGCTGGGAACTTCTACAGAGAGATACAGCACATGAAGCAACTTAGGAACAAGTTAGTTAACAAAGCAGTCCTGTGTATATAACATCATACATTTAAAGCGAAGAAAAATCCCTACTTTATAAATTTGAAATCAAGACCTACATATTGCAAAACTGCACAGGTCATATTTAACTTTAAAGGACCTCCATCTTTGCTCATTAAAACAAAATGCCCTTACCTTTAAGAAGTGAATGTGGTCTGTCTGAGCCACGTTTTCCAAGCCTGTGTTCCTCCTCCTCAGCTCAGCGATTTCCTGCTCCAGTTCAGTGATGAGGCCTCCAGCCCGCCTCTCCGTCTGCCTCTGCTTCTCCTCTATGTCCAAAACCAGCTCGGCCTGAGTCCTCTGGATGGAGCGCACCAGCTCTGAGAAGACCTGCATGCTCTCCTCGATCTCTCTTTGAGCACTGGCCTGAAAATACAGGGAAAAATACATAAATTTACATTGAACAGTCATGTGGAGACAGAAAATATCATTTTGTGTGATAACAGTCCACATTAGAGTTCAGGAGGTCTCACTTTGTTGAGCTCCACAGAGTGCTTGATCTCCTCCACCTTTTTCATTCTGTCCTGGATCATCTGCTGGATGTCTATTTCTGTCCTCTTCAGCTGCGCCTGCACAACACGATTTCACTTAACATGACTGATGACAGGTTTACACTTTTAGTTTCAGCTATTTTACTTGTAGGAACAGGTAGGCCTTATGTTTTTAGAAGAATTATTACGATGTTTGTGTTGCAGTGTAATGTGGCGTGTGGAGCAACTCCAAAGAGTGCTTTTTAAAATATCCTTCCAAATGACCTCAAGCAGCGAGATCTCTACAATAAAAGTGGTTCTAGCCCTGAGAAACATTTGTCCGACCTTTAAACTGACCTTTAGATGGTGGCAAGTTTGTCTCACCTTTTTCTCTGTCCACTCTCTCTCCACGGGGACGGTGTAGTGCATCCTGTGCTCCGTCTCAGTGCACAGGACACACACACAGGTTTGATCCTTCTTACAAAACAGCTCCAGGAGTCTTTCATGCTTTGGACACATCCTGTCTTCCATGTTAGCTACAGGTTCCATTAGCTTGTGCTTGGTGAACCGGGCAGCATGAGATTTCAAATGCTCCTCGCAGTAAGAAGTCAAGCACACAACGCAGGATTTGATTGCTTTAGGCCTGCCTTCCCCAAGGCAAGCGTCGCACAGGACCTCCTCCCAGGAAGGAGGTGAGGGTAAGGATTGAGAGGGTGTTTGAAGGGAGCGTGAGGGTGATGGACCCTGAGCTGATGGCGAAGAAGAGGTTTGGGGGCTTGACACTGGAGGGATTAATGGCGGTAGATCCTCTTTCAGTTGCATCCTGTCTCCTACCCTTAATGCTTCTTTCTTTCTCCTGTCCTCCTCTTGCTTCTGCTTTACCTGCTCCAGAAGCAGCCGCTTCAGATCTTTCTCCAAAAGCCTCTCCTCATCCTCTTGTTTCTTTCTTTCCATTGTCCTTTTCGTTTCTTTCCCTTTTTCCTCCTCTTTACTCACCTTCCCTTCCACACCTCTAATCCTAATCTCTTTGAACTGCTCTGCAATTTCTCTCAACACAGTGTTAACACTAATATCAGGCCTTTTGTGAAAGGTCTTCTTACACATGGGACACTGATACAAAGAGCTGGTTTTCCAGTATCCCACGATGCAACTCTGGCAGAAGTTGTGTCCGCAGGGGATGGATACAGGGTTGGTGAAGACGTCAAGACAGATGGAGCAGTGCACCTGCTCTTCAGAAAGGTTCCCAGTGCTGGCCATTCCTACACGGCGGAGAGGCAGGGTCATTTTCAGCATGAGCTACCAGCTTTTGAATGGGACTTCAAACCTGCTGTGATATTGAGGTTGCTAGGGTTAGATGGCATGATGTTATTTGGGGTGATTTGTGTGTAAATCTACTAAACTACTGTAAGAATGAGGGGAATCATTTATTGTTACAAATTCAAGATTGTCAAATTATAGGTTTTATACAATATTTTTGTAAAAAACAAAAAGAGCAGATATACTTAATTCATTTATTTATTTTCATTAAAAAAAAACCTTTCTACAGTATAGTCAATATTATATTTAAGAGGCCAGTACATATCAGTAAATGTAAACCAAAATATTGTGTTGGGACCGTTTCCAGTTGAAAATAAACGTTTGAGTGCCCTCTGATGGACAATTTATGTAACAGCAACATTGTTTTTAAATTACTTCAAACACCTCTGGCATTCACTACAGTCTTCATTCTTATCAATCAGCAATACTTGTGTATTTCTAATAAGATATTAGCTATACTAAAAATATCTTGTGTTCCATCTTTTTATTAACTTGCCTTAAAAAAAACCTATTGCTTTTTAACAAGGCATTTTTGTCCTTACTTGACCTACAAACAATAAGTGCTTGAGACTTAGGTAGCCTATTCATTGCAGACCAGATTAATATCTTTCTCACTCATGACCTGTCCTGCAGTGCTATAATATTGTTTAACAAGGGTTATTTTATCTCTCTTTTCATGACAATCTGTACTAAACTGACTGCAACAGAAAATAGTCCTTAGCTCATGTCACAGCAGTCAAATAGAATTTTTTTAAAGGTCACAGCACCACTTCCCTAAGAGACCTATACAGCTACATAGAAAAGCAGTGGTGACACTATAGGAATTAATGCACAGGAGAGGGTGAGGAGAGACAGAAAAAGCAGAGATCTAGGGACTCACCAGAGAGCAGCTGCCTCAAGACTCAGCACAATGACACATGAGACAGGCTGGAACCACTGCCACCTTCAACTCCCCCACAGTAACACACACCTCAGACCCAAAATATACCCCCCTCCCTGACTCTCCTTTTACCCCAGATACAAATTTATACTCCCTGCTCCCTCAGAGCTCCAGGAGGAAGGACTTTAACCCTTCAGAGAGTTTGGGTCAGGCACAGGACAGGAACAACAAAACACAAACAGCACAGTGTACTTCAATAATTTAGTATTGCAGGGCTTCTTTAATGTATTGTAAGGTTTTTTTGCTACTGTATTTTATTTTACAGGAGATTCATAATATCTTGCTTGTTTTTGTCAAAATTTCGAGGACTCTATTTATATAGTCTGTCTTGTTCATTAGATAAGTAACTAAAAATACTTTAGCCACCACCAGATAGCTTAGCTTAGAATCAAAACTGGAAACAACCAGCCTGGATCGGTCCAGAGCTAAAAAGAAAAAAGATCACAAACTATGCCTACTAGCACTCCTAAAGTCTTAAAAACTATCTAGCCAGGCTAGCTGCAGGTCTTTTTGGACTTTGTACCTATACTTTATAACTATATTTATAACTATATAACTATTGATTAGCGCAACTTTAAAGATAACAACTACAGGCCTTTCTAGCTCCACTGAGCCCTTCAGCGCTAGATGCTTTGGATGAGAACTAACGAGACAAATCCCTCCCTCACTTTTTGAAAAACAAGTACTTTAAATTAAGTATTTGTCACTGATCATCTTTATTGAACATGCTCATGCTGAAAGTACAAAACCAAACATTTAATACAAAAATAAAGCCTTATATACTGTACTGTAGGTTGATGGTTCTTGAAAAATATCCAAAAACACAAAAGAATATTCTTGGCAAACTATGTCAAAGCCCTTCCATATGTACATACAATATGTCTCCTTTGGTTCCCCAGGCAAACCTAAGCTTCTAGACATTACATTTAAATCCACTAAGTTCATTTTAGTAATCTGTAAAACCTCCAAAGCCTTGTAGTTAAAGGTTACACAGAGACTTACACACTTAGGAAAGTGCCAGAAGTACAGCATCACTTGACCTGAACTTAACACATCCTGGCTGCACAAACCACAGGTCACATTTGGTCTTTACAGTGACTGACTTCAGACCTTCAGATGTTTTCACACCAAGATATTCTTCATTATTTTATATTCAATTTGATAAGAGAGTTATTATGAAGGTACTATTACTTCTGAGTAACAAGTTTGTAAATATTTTTCTCTAATATATAGTCAGTCGGCAAAAGTACAGTATATGCTACATTTTGATTTCCCTTGACTCAGTGAAACACTGGTAACACAATGATTGCTATCATTTTATTGCTCTGAAAACGTCTTTTAGGTTCTAAATTTTACTTGAGCAAATGCAGTAACCTGCTGATATGATTGGATATGTGTGAGGTTGTGCTTTGCAAACAAGTAAAACTGTCAAAGTTGGATTAAAAACCATATTTTAAGACCAAACACAGGACAAAATCACCTTTTCAACATGCAAAAATATCGATACCTTGCACCAAACCTTTTTGTCCTAAAGATGTTGGAGAAGTTTAACCTAATGCTGACTGACTGGCTCAGGTGTGTTTAACAGGGGTTATGATGAGAGGAGAGCAGTTCTTCCCATCCTCGGTAAGGCAGGGACTGAAGATTGGGTGCAGGCTCTCATTAAAGGTATCCATGAAGGTGTAGAGATGCAACCGTGCTTTCACATCATAGAAAGAAATCTGGCCTCCTTCATAATCTAGGAAGATTCCCACTTTACTGGGTGGGGATGGCAGCATTAGAGGCAGACGGGATGATGCCAGAGCCTTGACTTCCCCGTTCTTCAGCCACAGGCACCAGAATCCTCCCTCGGGACTCAGCTTGATTTCACCCTTGCGGCGTGCTAAGGAACGGGCAACGCCAATCGTCCAGGCTGACTTACGGCCCACATCCACCTCCCAGTAGTGGCGCCCGGAGCTCAGACCCTCTCGGCCCAGGACGAAGAGTGCAGGGCTAAAGCGTTTCGGGCCTTCAGAGTGGGAGATCTTGCGCTCTTCATACCTCACCTGGCGACCATCATCGGAAACGACTAAGTTCTTCTGGGCTGTGGCAGGGTCCAATATCACCTCACCTGGACAGAGGTTCAATCACTGTTTTATGACATTTTACGGGCTTTGTTTTCACTAGCTGTTTACAAAATATTGCACATTAGGAGGTTTCATTTTTACTGATATGATAAAATTTATGCAGCATTAATTTTACTGTGGCTGGTTGAGGTGGAGCTACTTTTAATCTTATAAACTCAACGTGCTCAATTACACGTTTTCCCAGGACTGTGTGGGAGCACAGGACTGAGCTTAAGTGACATCTCTTTCACTCCCATGCATTTTGCAGGACAAGTTAAAACTAAATTTTTATTTGTACTTTTTTTATTTGTGCTTTGCACCACTCCAATCTGAAAGTCACAAGAAGTCAAAACACCTGTGGGAGTTTGTCAAAGTTCATCATATTCTAAAAATTCATATGTTTATAATATGAAGATAATGTATAAATATTGTAGTATGTAAACTCAAAGTCAATATCCATGTCCTATCATTTATATACATCCTTTTGAAATGTATACTCTTATTCTAGCTACATGTCCATTGACCTGCTGTAGCTGCTAAAGCAAACCACTGATATCACCAGGTTGACAGTTTAAAATCTTACTCACTTGAATAGTTCTGCACCTTCCAGAGCTCTGAGAGAAAGAAACAAAAAGACAGAGTCAGAGGTTACACAGAGTCAAAGCAGAGAGCATGTGTGGGTGCTGAACATTTAATCCAGAGCTGTAAAGACACAAAACATGTGCTGCTGTCAGTCAGCTCTCTGCTGCTGTCCCTCCAGATAAACTGTGGCATCAACACTATCTCCATCTGTCCAGCCGTCTTGTATGTGTGAGTGTGGGAGTGTGGTGCAGTGCTGTGTTGCTCCTATTTCAAAGTGCTTGTACAGGAGCTTACATGTCCCCGATTTGGATTTTGCACAGGAAGTGCGGTTGCATCAGAGAAGAGAGGATGGGTTTTACTGGAGCTTTGTATAGATAATGTTTGATTTTCAGTTGATGTTGACAATGAAAATCACCAAATGTTGATGACAAAGTCTAGTTTCCCATAGTTACATACTTTTGTGTATAGTTTATATACAATACAAAATACTGTACATCAGTATCAGCATTTTGGGATTTTTTTATTTTTTCAAAAGACATTGTTGATTTTTGAACTTTGCATAAATAACCCATAAATTGTCAATCTATCTTTGTGACGCTTATGATGTGTAGATCTTTTAAACAAAATGTTTCCAGGACCTTGAGACTGACCATAGTTTTAAGTATTGTTGAATGATCATACATTACTGTATGATGTTTCTATTATTTTGTCCAGCTGTGTCGATCAGTCATACATTTACTTTATGACTGGAAAGCCACAGACAGTCATTAAGTTACTACACACATATTTTTGTGTAGTGACTTACAGTAATCATTTACTCTGTTTATGCACAGAGTGAATCGTTCAGAAATTAAAAATTTGTTTTATGATTACAGATTTTGAAATGTACTTTGGCCAGCAGCCCTTACCTTTCCCGTACAGCCTTTTAAGCTCCTCCTGGAACTTGTCCATGAGGCTGGTGACAGAAGATCGGATGGTTCCGAGGTACAGGTCAGTGTTGATGCTGACCGCCGACCAGTCGATGGACTTGGGTGGATGTGGCAACATTGCCATGTTCTGCAAATGGAAAAAAAAGGTTGCATAAGGTATGATGAAATGAAAATATAATTATCCCTCAGGGTAAATAAGTGTTTGCAGTGAAAGGAACACACTAAAGGTGGAACAGATCCCATGGTGTTCAGAGCTTTCTTCTTTATTTATATACATATAGATTTATGGGCTAAAAGCTCTGACAGTGCCAATATTTAAAGAGAAATCTAGAAATGCAGATATCAAACTGCACATTTTCACTTTGACATAAAAATCAAAGAACAGTCAGGGCAGGCCTTTGTCCAGATGAGCACATTTACTGTTTATGCTCTTTCAAACACTGAGGCTTCATGCATTTGCTTACCCTCATTCTGGCTAGAAAAATTCTAAAATCAGCAGCTTCAAAGACATCTTTCATGTGAGACAGAATCAGCATTTCATCTACATAAACAGTCCTGGATAAATGCACTAGGAAGAACTTCCACAACAGCTGGCTCTGTTCATAGACACTTTGATGTTGTGTCACAAATCTCCCAGCAACTACAGCTGCTGTAGCCATGGAGGTCCACTAGAAAATAAGCTACACAATTATGACTAAAATACTGTCTTTAGTTTTAAGAGAGAGATTATAAAAATGTATGTTTTTCCAGCTGGGGCAGCATGGTGGCACAGTGATTAGCTGGGATTGGCTCCAGCCTGGTCAGCAAGTTTCTTAATACAAGTAATTAGTCTGTTAAGGTAGATGTCCATTACTTACACTGTTGTGTGCTGTGTTAGCCTCCTAACAAGTTCAGGGCTTTGCTGTGCCCCAAATGCATACCAATTGTTATCTGAGTATGTCTGCTACACACTAGAGTAAAATGACTAATGAAATAATTATTAAATGAATATGTCAGCCAGTGGTTGCACCACTTTAGCCTGCAGTACCTGAAGGAAGATCACTTTGTCCTGGGTCTCTGCGCAGGCTTCAAGCTCGTTGCTCCTCCTCCTCAGCTGACTGAGTTCATTCTCCAAACCTCGAGCCAACTCCTGAGCATGACGCTCTGCCTCACGTTGCCTCATGGCAATCAGCTCCACCAGCTCCGCCTGGCTTTGTTCCACCAAATGCTGCAGCTCAGCATACACCTGCCAGCTCTCCTCTAGCTCCTTCTGAGCACTGGCCTGCAAAGAAGGGGACATGGGGTCCAGGTTACAGTGAATGCATATATACCATAAGGCTGGCAAAACCCCTGCTAGTTGAATGTGTGTTCAAACACATATAAGGTCAAGTCAAAAGGGGTCCAGATAAATCCAATCTTCATTGAGACTAAGTTCAAAGCAGGCTAGTAGCTAAAGACCTCCAGCTGCAAAGTCTGTAAAAATGGTTGTATAGTCTTCTGGGGGCCTTAAGAAGCTTTTCAAAGTCTAAGAAAATAACCCTGGTGATGTCATCAGGGTTATCACTTTCAGATTTACACCAAACAAATTTTAAAGCAAATGAGACACTAACAAACCAACTTGTAAAATGCTGAAGTTCCTCTAATATTTAGTGTCTGGCGTGTCCTGAGTGGCTCACAGTGTCTGTCTGCTACTTGTACAACTGGACTAACAGGTTACACCTTCCTCCAGGCAGGCGTAGAAGCCACTCATCTCAAAAACGTACCTCCACATAGGTTTCAACATTACTCATCATTTCAAGTTATGTTTTTAACTCCCAAGTAAAGTGCATAATTACACATAGAGATGTTTGTGTCCTTCACTACTTCCATAATATGCAGTTTATTTCTCTCATCCTGGTGTATTATTCCTCAACAGAATAAAAAAAGTCTAGTGCATCAATTCATCAGTGTCTTTATCTCCAGGCACATGTGAAGTTGAAACTTTTTACAGTATACACACACACTGGTGTGCACATCATGATACTGAACCCTGTGATAACGTAATCCTCATTGTATTTCTAACAGTAGCTGAGTTTTTTTTGTTTTTGTTTTTTTTTTAAGTCACCGAACAGGAAACAGTAAAACTGAACCTGGGGCATTTTGCTAATCAAAGAAAAAAGATAACTATAATGTTTCAGGAAAAAAGAAGAAAAAAAACACACTGTGGTGTTTATCTGGCATTTAGGTCAGTCAGTAATCCTTTGTGTTTTGATCTCATACACTGGAGATAAGTCTCATTGTAAAGCAGCTGTAGGTAAAAACAGGGTGTGGAAAACTAAAGGTAAATATTAACACTGGTCACACTGGTTGGACAGCCTCTGACACGGACCTGAGTCTGTGTACACAGGAGAAAAAGGAACTTCTCCACCACTGCAGAGCAGGAGAGGTATGAGAGAGATGTAACGTCCTGCCCAAATCGATCCTCTAACAAAGTAAATCTACAGTTTGGTAGAAGACACGATTACCTGAGAGGTCATAGCAAAGGCAAGGTGCTCTTGAGCAACAGCCTGCTTGTGTTTTATAAGCCACGCCTCTATCAGAGATAAAGTTTTTGGGCTTCAGTGTATGAGAAGAACTGTATTAGAGCAGACTGGGCAAGTATTTAACATTCAGTGCACACAGGTAATACGAGTAACAGAAGCAACAAACTGCTTGTAAAACTCAGACTTTAAAGCACGTTTCAAGTCCAGTTAAAGTCAACTACAGGAGATTTAGGGACAAAGTACTGATTTACTCTACTAGTATCCAGTAAGTGTCATCCACTTCTGACAAAATACTGTTTTCTGATAATATATTTATCGTGTAATTTGGTCCAACTGTTGTCTGAAGGAAGCCAGCCTAAAACTAATGACATAAAACTTACTGAAAGCTGAACTCAAAAATATTGGAATGAAGGTTTTGGGCTTCATTTTTCACTAAAATACATTTTAAATTCAAACTCTTGTTTTTCCCCTTGAACATATTTATTTTGATTTGATCAAATAGAGGCTGCAGTACCATCAAAAAGGCTAATAGTGGCACTGGTTGTTATATTTCAAAGAACAGAAAAATGACAATAAAACATTAGTTACTCTCCTCCTCTACACACTGCTAAACCTTAGGCACTCTCACCTTGATGACCTTTATGGATTGTTTGATCTCCTCCAGTTTCTTGGTTCGCTCCTTGATCAAATGTTTCAGCTCCGATCTCTTCTTTCCCAGGTTATTCTGTAAAACAAAAATCATATAATTACTCTTATAACTGTCAATGAAGCTATAAGGCACTTTACATGGAAACACATAAAATCTAAACCTGCTATATGTAAAAAAAATTTCTTTTAAATGTATCGTTTTATGATTAGGATTAAATGATCTCAGGGTTTTCTTCCACTGATACGCATTGTTTTATTTCAATATATTCACTGACTCCAGCTCACCATCCTTTTCTTCCACTCATGGTCAATAGAGACAATGTCATGGGACTTATGTGTTGCCTCAGCGCAGGCCGTGCAGATGCAGATGTGGTCAGTATGGCAGTAGACCTCCAGAAGACGCTTGTGTTTCCTACAGATCTTTTCGTCCAGGTGGAAAGTAGGTTCAATCAGACGATGAGATATCAAGGTCTTCACCTGCATAATGGAAGAAATACATTAATTTAAACAGACAAATGCAAGCATATCAACCCAGGGACTGTGTTTTAGATCCACAGATGTAGTGGGCCAGTGATTCTGGCTTTGAGCAAAGCTCTTAACCCACCGTTTATTCATTGAATCTGCCCTGTGATGTACACTAGTTGGCTGTTTGACATGGGAAGCACTGTGGCCATTTGCACCACATATGTTCAAGAAAGCAAAATAATAATAACCGCACTTTCCAGCTCGAGAGCACAAAGTGCTACAACAATAAAAACATAGAATACAATATCAGTTAAGAACACTCATAAACAGACAGAAGCCAAATGGATATCCAAGGACTGATATAGGCCAACTCCTACCCGGCCGGCTTTCCCACCGGGGGCTTACCTGTGGTGGCCCAAGGACTAATACACACATTGACATATTAAAACTAGTTAAAAAATAAATTATTAAAGGTGGCGAAAATAAGTGAACAGGCTAAACATTAAAAGCTTGTTTGAAAAGATGCGAAACGCTGACTTAAACGCTGCCGGCTCAGTTATCGAGCATATATCTAAAGGCAGGGAATTCCACAGCCTAGGGCCATGCACGGCAAAGGCGCGACCTTCCCATTTTTTGTAGTGCGCAGGGGGAACAACAAGAGCAAGGTGACCCAATGATCGCAGGGTTCTGCGAGGGACATATCTAGCCAGGAGGTCGGACAGGTACGGAGGGGCAAGGCCGTGCATGGCTTTAAAAACATAAAGCAAAACCTTAAAATCTACTCTCCATTTAACAGGCAGCCGGTGACAAAACACCCTGAGGCAAGCATGCTACGCATTTCTTACACAAAGATATAAATGAAAAATGCATGAGATATAATCATACTATAAAGTGATAAGTACAAAGGAATCCTGAAATGCCCATAGCAATATATTTAATGTTTACAGTATAACATCAAGTATTACCACGTCTAAGATCAGGAGCTGCAGTTAAAGCATAGAATTATGTCAGAATTAGTCATCATCTTTGGCCATTACTGACCTGATGGAGGACATTACAAGTGCTATGGATGAGAAGAAATACACGATAGGAATATTTATTGACCTAAAAAAAGCATTTGACACAATCAATCATGAATTATTAATGGACAAGTTAGAAAAATATGGGATCAGAGGAATGGCTCTGAAATGGATTAAAAGTTATTTGACACAGAGGCGTCAATTTGTGAAGTTGGGTGAATATCAATCGAGTCTGCTGGACATTGTATGTGGAGTGCCCCAGGGTTCTGTTTTGGGACCTAAATTATTTATATTATACATTAACGATATATGCAAGGTTTCGGATTTAGTGAAAGTGGTTTTGTTTGCTGATGATACTACCATATGGGCATCGGGTGAAAACCTACAGCAACT